AGCCTCCTTGGCGATGGAGACGGCGTACTCGGCCGTGAGCTCGGGCTTGGGGTCGTTGCGGTTCTTGAACGTGACGATGTTGTCGAGGAGCGGGATGATGTAGGACTGGCCGCTGCCCGACGCGGAAAAGGGCACGCGCTCGAAGGAGCCGATGGCGTCGTAGGAGTAGACGCAGCCCTTGCCCTCCTTGTCCACGCCCGCGAGGACGTTGAAGGCGTAGTAGGGGAAGAAGCGCTTGTAGTAGAGCGTGTTGCCGAGCATCTGCGCGATCGACGTCGTCGTCATGTTCTTGCCCGTCTGGTGCTTGTACATCTTCTGCCGCGTCTTCAGCACGTCGACGAGGCAGACGACGTCGGTCTGGCAGCCGGCGGCTGCGAGCACGGTGTTCGGGCCGAGCTGGTGGAGCTTCGACATCTTCCGCGTCATGATCGAGTAGCCCGTCGACATGCGCGTGTCCGCGGCGACGACCGCGAAGTCCGCGCCGGAGATGGCGAGCGTCGTGCCGCCGTTGAAGTCGTAGGGCTCGAAGCGGTGCTCCAGCGGGTTCTTGTGCTTCCCGTCGAAGGTCGACGGCGCCGCCGGTTGCGACACGCGCGCGAAACCTGGGGGTGCGAGGGTTGGACGGGCCGGGGGGCGAGCGCGCGGGCGGCGGGGCGGGCGATCCGCGCGCGCACCTTCGTCGGGCGTCCGGATGGGCAGGCTCGCCGCCGGCGCGAAGCCCGGGGCCAGGTTCGCGGCCATGGCTCAGCCGTCGAAGGCGCGCCTCCTCAGCGCGACGACCTCGCGAGCGGAGCGGCCGGACTCGACGAAGGCGGGGTTTGCTCCGCCACTGGCGCCGGCACCAGTGAAGTGATCAACGTACATCTAGACACGCCCATAGGAAATTAATTAATAAAGATCAATCATCGAATTCCGGCCGGCGGAGCCAGAGTCATTAGTCCTCCATAGAGGCTGTGCGTCGACCGCGCGCGCGGGCGCGGTGTCGCGGAGGTCCGCGGGCTGAAATCACGGCCAAAATTGGTTAAATGGTCGTATCAAAGCAAGCTTGATGATACTCACGCGTTGATTGCACGTTTGCGAAGACTTTTTGCGCGCGGTCGCTGGTTCGGGTCAAGAAATCGCAAGATTTAACTTCAACAAAAGTGCTGAAGTTCAACAAAAATGTTGACTTTTAAATCCAGGCTATCAGAATCCGAGTTTTGATCACTTCACTGGCCGGCACCCCTGCGTGCGCGAGGACGTTGCGCGGCGGGGTGGTACATCTTACTGCAGGGAAACGGCGTTCCCCAGCCGTCACACCCACGTCGCGCCCAAAACCAAGGGGCGTATCCAACGCCATCGATGGTGACGCGCTTCGCTGGCACGGACTTGTACGCCGCGGCCGCCCCGCGGAGACGAGGCCCGCGCGGTGGAATTTGGTCGACGCCAGAACCACCTCCGATGGGGGCACCGACGGTCAGGCTTACGCCTAGGGGTCATGGAAGGCCACTCCGACCACCAGAACGGGCTGCCGTGCGTCGGGAGCTG